ACTACAAAAAAGAACAGGGAAAGATCTCAGAAGATTTTCAATTGTGGTTGTCATGAGATTAGATCTAGAATTGCATCTATAAAGTCAGAGAGGGCAGGTGTGCCAAAGAAAGTTCTGAGATCAAGAAAACCTTCAAAACTGAGAAGCACTAGTACATGGTGGCTGGATTCTGTAGAAATTGAACAGAGAAGTGGAGATTAAATTTGGGACATTCTTCCAGAATCCAAAGGAAAAGGATAAAGAGATGAAAATAATGAGAGACACCACAAGTGACATGGAAGATAGATCAAAGGAACTCCAATATGCACACATCAAGAATTCTAGAGAGAGAGAGAAGACAGGAGAGATTGAAGGAGAAGAAATAGTTTACAAAAGAAGATAACTTTCCTAAGCTTAAGAAAGACTTGAGGCTCAGACTAAAATTGTTCTCAAAGTGCCAGATGTAATTAAAAAAAAGAGATTTTCACTGCAACATATCCTAGTGGACTTCTAAATTTTAAATATAAAACACAAACATATGAAAGGCATCCAGAGAGAAAAGAAGGGGTTACCTACAAGGATAAAGAATCAGGTTGGAGTCCACTTGGCTTTGATATTAACAGTTGGAATGAAGTAGAACAGCAGCTGCAGTTTTGAAAGAAGTTTGTGACCCATAATTTGATTTACAGTCAAGTTGTCATTTATATGATACGTCAAAGGAAAGACGTACTCATACTTGCAAGGTGACAGAAAGTACCGCAGTGATGAGCCTGCTAAAAAAAAATGATTGGAAGTAGGGAAATCAGAAACTCTCAGGGATAAAGACAACCAGGAAAATAATAGTTAAACCCAAATAATTATTGTCAACGAGATAGCAAAACTAAATGCAAATGTAAACACTTGTTCTTGGGGAAGAAGTCCATAATTTACAAATAATTAATAATAACAGTCATATGAAAGTCTAAATATATATAAGAAAAACCTTGGAAGTTAGAGATGGGTCAGATATGAATGGAAAAGCAAGAAAGCAAAAGCAAAACAAAAGAAACAAAAACCCACAAAGAACAAAACCAGATGACAGTTATCAGACCAAATGTAAAATAAGTAAGTAAACATCCTCTTAAAAGAAAAAGACTCTCACAGAAAATGAGGAAAGATCTATCAGGTGAACACAGATACAAAAATGGCTGGAAACACAAGAAGACAACAAAATATCACAGTTGCAGTGGGATCTTTAAATCCGCAACATTCTCAATCAGTGATGTATCAAATAGAAAAACAAAATGAAGATTGTTGAGTAGTGCTCCTCAAGCTTCTTTTTCCCCTCTCAGCACACCTCAGGGACAGGGGCACACCCATCACCTCATCAGTGTTTCTCCAAATGAGGAATAAGGGAGGATTTGAGAATATTGATATTTATACCTATGGTTTGATCTATCTATCTATCTATCTATCTATCTTTCTATCTATCTATCTATCTACCTATCTATCCATCCATCCATCTATACCTATTTCTTTCTATCCATTGGTCCTTTACATCTATATCTGTACCTGTATCTATATCCACATTTACATATACAGGTTCTAAATGTATCTCTCTCTCTCTGCCTACATCTATACTTCTATATCTATAGCTAAACTTATATCTCTATCTTGAAAATCAAGAGATTTTGAAAAAGCATCCTACCCCAAGAGATCCGGAATTACACTCCTGGCTGGGTGTGCGTTTGTGGGGTGTTGATATCAAAAACTCATTTCATTGAGAACTACTGATAGAATGGAATTGAATAATAAAATTGAGTAAGATTGGTCTAATGGCTATTACAAAGCTAATTTAACCCTAACAACAGCTCTAGGAGGCAAAGGTTTTCCTCTCTGCATTTTACGCTGAGGGAACTGCAGCTCAGAGGGGTCAAGCTCCAGCCCCCACAGGCACCTAGCTGGCAGGGGGGAGGGCTGAGATTAAGGGCCAGGCACTGAGTGCTGGGCCTGAGCTCCCCATCTCTCTGTGGCCTCTCAATCCTGCAGAGCACACACTCTCTTCTGAGATACTTAAGGAATTAAAAAAAAAAATGTCTTCGGCTACTGAGCAGACCTCATTTCATCCCCAGAGCGGAAATGGTACAGGCTATGTTCTCTCACCATGTGGCAATAAAATGAGAAATTAACACAAATGTTTAAATGTAACAGAACAAAATCCAAGTTCCTGGAGGAAAAGAAGAGGCAACCTTAAAGGACTCAGGCAAAAAGAGGAAAACATGATGACAGATTATCTAGAAAGTAACAAGGAGGACAATAGTACACATCAATGCTCATAGCATGAAGCCCAAAGTATGCTTAGAGGGGAGTGTACTACTATCCACATGCTCTTCATTACACAGGGAAAATAATGAACAAAGCTCTTAGTTCAAGGAGTTAGCACAAGAAGAACAACATAAACTGAAGAAAAACAGGAAAAGAGACATTATGAAATAAACCCAGAAGTTAATTAATTAAAAAATAACAAAGTCCACAGAAGAATTGAGAAGTAGAAGCAGTAAGAAATGCAACAAAACAACACCAAACCTCTGGTCCTGATGGGAAAAGAGGGGCACTAGGAATATAGCCCTCGGCGTGCAAAGGCAGGGGCTATAACTGCTAACACAGAGGAGATTCAACAGCATTAGAGTTGATGATATAACCTATGCTGCTGAATTTAAAATAATTACAAAATGGGCTTTTTACTAAAATATAAAGTATCCACATTGATATTGAGGTAAGATGCTTGAATAGACCAATAACCATGGAAGAAAATAAAAGAAAAAACACTAAAAAGGAAGAGATGAAATAATGAGACATATTTATTTGCAGAAGATATTGCTTCTTGCCTTAAGGGCCTGGGAGAAATCAGTTGGCAGTGTTACCTTTATTACAGAGGGTTCATTGACTTTACAAAATGACTATACCAAAAATACCAGTCTTCTACTATAGTAGCAGAGACCAGCTAGAAAACATAATGGAGGGAAGAGGAGACCCGTTTACAGCAGCAACAAAAACAACAAAAATTGCCATGAAATATCTAGGAGGGAAGTTAACAAAAAACGAATACAGCCAAAGTGAAAATTAGAGCCCCGTCCCCAAGGTTACAAAAGATAGGTCAATGGAGAGACATACCATGTTCCTGGAAGGGAAGAAGGGTGACTATCATAAAGACGTGAGTTCTCCTTCAATGAATCAATAAGTTTAATGGAAGTTCAATGAAAACTCTGATGCAAGTTTTTTTAACTTGACAAGGTATTTCTAAGAAGTTATTTGGAGGCAAAAATCAACAAGAACAGCCAATAAAAAATTCAAAAGAAAGAATGAGTTTGGGGACTTATAGCACCCTATGTTTAAAATGATCATAATATTAAACATTTTCATAATCTTACATTATGAAAAATGTAAAAAAACTTTTTGACACTGATACAAAAATAAACAGATACTTAAAGACATGGATAAAAACTCTAGAAACATATCCTTAACTTCATAAAAATTTAATAGATGTAAATCTGGCATTTTGAAAATTCTGTTAGGACAACTGATTAACTAAATTTGAAAGAATATGGTTAGACTCCCTAAAACAAATAACAACTCAGAATAAATTCCAAAGGTATTAAAGCAAAACAAACTGTAAAGAAGTGAAAGAAAACACAGAATATTTACTTAATCAGCGTAAAAGTAAAGGAGAAAACTATAAAAGAAAGCATTGATAGATCTGATATCATGGGAAATTTAAATTTTCTGACATTAAAATACACCCTGAAGAAAATTAAATGGCAAACGATAAACTGTAAGGGAAGGCTTTTTATAGCATATAATATGGACATGAAGTTTTTATGGTACATGATATGTATGGCTTGTAATAATATGGAGCTCTCTTAAATCAATAAGATAAATGCTGACAGAAAAATCAACAGCAATTCACAATTAAATTCACAGATAAAAAATGCATGGGCCAATAATTACATTATGAAAAGTTTAACTCAACTAGTAATAAAAAAAAGGCAAATTAAGAAATGAGATACCATTTTCACTTTTCAAACTGATGATGTTTTGGTTCCTTAATTAGCTAGTTTTTGTGAGAATAAAACATGCCCTCTTATTTATTGGTGGTGAACAAAGTGGCAAGAACTTTCTGCAGGGATGACTGGAATTTTGGCATATCTCAAAATCTGGGATTTTGAGAATTCTGTTGAAACAGCTGATTGACTAAATTTGAAAGAATATAGTTATGTTCCCATAAAAAGCCTTAATAAAGATCACACATATCCTTTAACTTGGCAATTCTACTTCTAGATAATCTAAGGTAATAGTCAGAAATGTATATAAAGACATATGCATAATACAGAGTTACTACTATTCGTGAGAGTGAAAAATTAGAAACAACCTCAACGTTCAATAATAAGGAATTCATTACATAAATTTTTTTACATAAATTTTAAGTAACTACATGATAGACTATTTTGCATCATTTAAAATCCTATTATAGAAGAAAATAATGACAGAAATGCTCACAATGAACATTTTAATAAAAATATGTATATTGTTTTATTCAATAAAATATGCAAAAGATTAAGTCTAAGTAGAAATAAAGCCTGGGGGGGGGATACACTCCATCTTTCAGTGGTTCTTTCTGGGTGGTTTTTATTTTAATTCTCCATACAATTATTTTGCCTTGCCTCTAAGTTTTCTACATTGAAAACACAGTATGCTTATAATTAGAAAAACATGGGCCAAGAATAAACCAACAGGGGAATATTACACCACTTGGGGGCAGCGGTGAGTAGATACAGCTTGTGGTGAAGGTAGCTTCTGAAGCCCCCTTCTATGTCTGGGCTCCCAGGAGCTGACTGTTGCGTTGTAGAGACAGCACCAGCGCAGACAGACACAAAACTGTGTGATTCCACCTGTGGCCAGGCTTATAGGGCCTCTTTCTTTTCAGCTGGCCCACCATACCCTCAGCCCACCACCATTCCCAATGCCGGCTGAGCCCTGGGTACCTGTGTGGGAGCCCGAGAGGGAGCTGAGGAGCCGGAAGTGCTGGCTGTGGCCGTCATGCACCTCTACCACGTCGTTGAGGGCCGTGTGGAAGAAGGCGAACTGTCCAAACACCACTGTGGAGGAGACATGGAGACCTCAGCATGGAATATTGGCCGCCATGCTGGGGGCAAGGACTGGAGGTGTGGGGGCTGCAGGCTGGAAGCAGGGAAGCCTTGCAGGAAGTTGGTGGTTCCGGGGGCTCACTGCTTGCTGAGGCTTTCTACCGGCTGATCAGCACACTGGCCAGACACCAGGCACAGGGCTGTGGGGAGGTGGAGAGGGCTGGCTGGCATTCTCCCTCACCGGTCAAGGTAACATTGAAGACTGAACTCAGTGGTCGGGGTTGGTGGAAGTGGAGCTGAGCTAAGCCTATTCCTTTCTCAGATAGCAGCGGCAGCAGCTACTCATGGACGTGGGAGGGCTTTTGGCAACATCCCCCATTTTCCATGTGATCTCAGGACCCTGTATTTTCCTTTATTTTTTCTTCAAAAATTCAGCTGACCAGGATAGCTCTGATACAAGATCCCCCACAGTTAAGAGGAATAAGGGTGGTGAGGAGCAGCTGCTCCTGGGGAAGGAGCAACTGTCTAAGGAATGCGCAAACATCTTTAGCTCATTTCCCTCTGGCCAAGCCAAAGGAAGAGGCAAAATGGCATTTATTAAGCACCTGCTGTGTGCCAGGTACCCACTAGAATGCACACCCTGTGAAAGCAGGAATGTTTCCTATCCTGTTCACCTAACTCAGCACCCATTTTCAGGGCTCCAAAATGTGCTCTCCCTCCAGCTCCTCCTCCCACCCCTCTGACCTCTGCTCCATTCTCTCCTCCCCCGGTTCTTGCCCTCAGATGCACCTGGCAAACTGGGAGGCTGGTGCAGGCAGACTGAACCAAGGTCTTGCAGATAGCTGAACTGGAGCTGTGCCTGCCGTGGGGTCAGAGACACAGCCCCTCCAGCAGTGACTGGCAGAGAGGGGGTGGCTGAGGAAAGCCCCTCTGATTCGTAAGTCAATAAAGGGGGAAAAACACCCCACTTAAGCAAAGAGATAAGCAAGATAATTTCAGATAGTGTTAAAATTAAGCCCTGGAGGAAATGGGAAAACCATGGATGAGGCAGGTCACTTTAGGTAGGGGATCAAAGGAAGATCATTGGAAGAGGATGTCAGAGCTGAGACTTGAGCTGGAGGACAAATACTGCAGACCCAGAGGCAAAAATCTGCCCCTAATCCCCGGGTTCAGCATCCTTGGCAAAGAGAAGATACTTGGGACAGATCACTGCCCTTCCTCCAATCAGCTCTCTGCTTGCAGGTTTCAGCCCAATGAAACTGACCAGCCTTGGGGTTGGTTCTTTTAAAGGCCCCAGCTCTTTATTATGGGAGGAATCCAAGCACAAACTGCACACCACTTATCGAGGATTCTCCTCTGTGTGGCAGATTGGATTGGACAACCTTTTAGGACTTTGCTAACGGTGACCCTGCAGGTCAAAGACTCCTGCTACTTAAGTAGGTTGGGGAGCGTGTGCCCACGCACCTAAGTGTACAGGGGCTGGGGTGGGAGTGGTTCAAGATGGCTGGAGCTGTAGGTTAAGATGAGAGTGGGAGTTTACAGAGGGCAGGGAGCATGTCAAGCTCATGTCTGCGGCAGAGTGCGTGGTCCCTGAGAGATGCTTCATAAATGTTTGGTGACATCAGGCCTTGCCCTACACGCGTGCCATCCTATCTCAGAAATCAGCAGCCAGCTCTCTGCAGGCTGCCCCATCCGTCCCTCTCCTGGATGGTCAGGATGTATCAATGCCCTTTACCCCACCCAACACCAATCCTGCTTAGAAATAGTTGTTACTCGTCCTACAAAGAGGAGATCCAGGGAGAAAGCATCCAGGTGGGTCACCTGATTGATTGCCCAGGTACAACCAGCCTGGTTGCCCCTTAGAACTTCCTGAATCCTCCAGGGATGACAGGACTCCTCAATGTCCCTACTGCCAATCAGGTGACAAGCCTGGCTTCTTCTTGGCTGCGTCTCTTAGAATCTGGAGGTTTTTCTGCTGTCTCAGGACACTGGCCTGCTCCTCACTTTTCTTGTTGGCCCTACCTATAGTTGCTGGACCAGGCTCCCAGTCTCTGATGGAATATTGGAACATGGTGGTTCCCAGCTCTGTCCCACTCCTTCCTTCTTCCTGCCTTTTGGCTGCCCTCTCTTGGGCTCCCAATCAGCCTGGAACTGCAGCCCCTCTATTGAGACTTAGGCTGTGCTGGCTAGCCTTCGGTGTCCCGACCTTCCCTCTGTCCTGGCTAGTTCCTCCCCAGCTGCATCCCCTGATTCTGCTGGCCTCACCAGGGCCCCTCCTCCCACATGTGTCAGGAGCGTGCCCACAGTGTATCCTACTTCCACTTCATGGCATCTGCCCCCAGGTGTCCTGTATAGGAGACTGCCTGTTCCTATAATGGGAGTGCATACAACTGAGAGTGGGATTGGGACACAACTGAGAAGGGCCAGAGGCCCTGGAAGAGGTCAGAAAACATACAAACATGCAACACCTCCATACCATAGTCCTTGGGCACGGTGACAAAATAGAGGCAGATCTGTCCACTGGTGTAATTCTGGGGGTAGTTGGGGGACAAGACCACTCCATCTGAACCCACATACTGTCCCCCACAGGGGGCTGAAAGAGAAATCACAGAGAGGTCCGGGTGACCTTGTAGACCTCTCATCAACAGTCATCCTCTGTTCTGCCCACCCCCAGCCTGAACCACTGGCCCTGGTGGGGCTGCCCTGAGGTTTGCAGCCACTAGCGTGGAGGAGGGGAGTTCTGAGGACATCCCTGGGCTGGCATGTGGCCCGAAACCCACCCTGATGCCACCCAAGGCCCTCCAGGCCACAGGTCAGATCTTGCCCTCTAACTAATAACACTAGCATCCATCCCTAGAGGCACAGGGGCCTAGGAATGATCTTCTGCCCCATGGCTGAAGTCTCCCTGAGGCAGTTAGTGTCGCATGAGAAGAGAGCTGAAAGTCCCAGAGTAGCCCCACTGGGAGCGGCTGGCCCATGCAACCCAGCCACCTGTTCCCATCCAAGGTGCCCAGTTCCACAAGGGGTGGCCTGGAGAGCCAGCCCCTCTCCCCTGGGAAAAGGGGCCTCCTTGCTTTCCAACTTGGATGGCCACCATGCTCTTGAAGTTCTGACACTCTATCCCATGCCTCTTGCCAGGGCCCTGTGGCTGAGCCAGACCCCGCTGGCCTTAGTTTTACAAACCTGACCTCTCAGTGACTTCCTAGGCTCAGGAATAAGCCCAGGTCACCTGAAAACTCCCATCTCCCTCATACGAGCTGGCGGCATGTGTGGAGGCCCCTGTGGAGGACCTCTGAGTGGGGCTAGGAACACTATGTGATCTGAGAGCGAGGACACGTTGATAGGGACAGTACACCTGGTGAATTTCCAGCCTCTCTCATTCACAGTGAACACAAGGAGCCTGCTCGGAGGGCCATGTCCCTCCCCCCAGCCAATAGCCCCCTCCGCTGCTGGCAGGCCCTCACTCCCTTCTGCCCCTTCCTGTCCCTGCTCCGTCACCTGTGCACACTGGTCGGGGGTTGTTCCACGTGGGCTTCCCATCAGGCCCCAGGACACAGCTGAGGGTAGAGGCGCCCTCAACCTCATAGCCCCCGTGGCAGTAGTAGGTGATGGAGGAGCCCAGCTTCAGGTCGGACCCCACTCGTGTGCCATTCTTGATGGAACCAGGATCAAAACAAGACTCCCGTGGGTTTTCTGGAAAAAAGAAACACACACACACACACCACACACGCAGAGGACTCATTAGTGGCTCCAGTCCATGGTGCAGCACCCAAGAGAAGACCTTGACTCGAATTAGCCACAGAGCATATGGGGATTTGGGACTGGTGGTCCTGCTCCCTTCAGGTCTGAAAACTTCGGTAAATCTAGGGTTGGAGGTCATCTCGGAGGATGAAATTTTCCTTCTTCTCCCACATTCTTGCCCTGACCCACAAAGGAGCAAGTAGCAGCTAAATGTTGGGGGCCCTTTGTCATGCCTTGACTCACTCCTCTCCAAGGGAGGCTGCCTGCTGTCATATCCATACCTGGCAGGTACTTCTGAGGGCATGGGTACCAATACTTAGATTTAGGAAGGAAGTGTGAAACCCCACTTCAAGCTCTGGACTTTCTAGGGTTAAACAGTTTTCCAGGACTGTGCACTGGGCTATTGGGTGCTTGCTAGTTTATTAAAACAGTAGTATTTTTCCACTTGATTTTCATTGCATATATGTCTTCCCAATTAGGCATCCCATAAGGTACCTAACAGGCATCCACTCTGTCCCTCTGTGCTGGACGAGAGCGAACTTGGTGCTGCCTGAGCAACTGAGAGCACTAGTTGGGGCCCCACATCTCTGGAGAAGGGCACTCCGCAGCCTCCCTCACCATTATCTGGAAATCCTGAGCAGCTCTGAGAGCCAATGTTCACTTGCATCCATTGCTGCTTTTCCTCATCCTCCTTGTCCAAAGACCACTGGTGTCGTCATGGCTGGGCAGGGTCAGGGACATGCCACTGGGTATCAGGGTTCCATTGGACTCCTGGAGGCTACACTACAGGGAGGTCTGGAGATCAGGGCTCACAAAAAGGTGCCAGCAGCCCTTGCAGGAGGACTCAGAAGTTCAAATAGCAGATTTAAGGCAGAAAGAGCCAGAATAGAAGGGATCAGAGTTCAGGGATGAATAGCCAAGGAATTTTGCTGAGGCTGTCCTTGTCACCTGGGCATCTTTTGGGCTGCCCATCTGAGGCAGCTGCTGTTTGGGGGGTGGGTGTTGCTCAGCCGCCAGTCAGCCCAGTGACTGATGGGATGGGCTCTGAGAGTCCATGGTCCTGCCAAGTCTGGCCACTCTTGCATTGGAGCCCTTATGATGGCCCTGCTCTTTGTCTATGTCTATAGCTAAGGGTGGAGTAGTCCTGGATATGCTATTGCATTTAAATTCAGGTGGGACCCAGAAAATGGTCCCTCATCTAGCAGAAGACCCCTCAGTGGTTTCCTTGTGTGCTCTGTGGTGTGTCGCCTTCACCCCCTCATCAAATCTGTCTTCTCCTGAAGCCCATTGGCTCTGGCCAGAATACAACTGGCCATTGGGTGACCCATCTGAGAATAACAGAGACACAGGGAACTGTCACCATCTTATATTTCATCTGTTCTTTTTACAAATGACAGCAGGTCAAACCTAATTTGATGTTCCAAGAAATTAGGTAACTTAGGACTAAGCTGACATATCTCATAAGGAGCAGAACTAACTGTGGCCCCCAATAACCATTTCCCCTCTTCATCCTTAAATAATAGAAACCAGATTTTATCCAGAGTACCAAGGCACCAGCTAAAATCCATACCTTCCAGCTTCTAAACAGCTACATCTGGCCAAAGAGATATAAACACAGTCAAGTCAGAGAGTCTCCTGTCTCAGAGTAAAAGCCCAAATCCTTACAGGCCTACAGGCCCTGCACCTTCTATCCCCAATCCCTACCCCTTTACGATCTTGATCTCAACTTCTATCATTCCTTTGCTAACTTTGCTCCAACCACATTGGCCTCTGTGCATGGAATGTTCCTCTATATGCATGGCTCTCTCTCTCATCTCTTTCAGGATTTAACAGTGTCTCTTTCTTAGAGACACTTCCTTGACCAGCTATTTAAATTTCTGATATTCCTCTCCCCAGCACTCCCAGTCACCTTTTTCTGCTTTGTTTCTCTGCACTGGCATCAATATTATCTCATGTACTATATATTTACCCAGTTTTTTTCTTCTTTTTTTTAAAATTTTATTATGTTATGTTAGTCACCATACAATACATCATTAGTTTTTGATGTAGTGATCCATGATCCATTGTTTTCGTATAACACCCAGTGCTCCATGCAGTATGTGCCCTCCTTAATACCCATCACCGGGCTAACCAATCCCCCCTCCCCCCTCCCCTCTAAAACCCTGTTTGTTTCTCAGGTCCAT